ACCCTCCACTGAGAAAATTGCCCATCTATTAATTAGCCAGTTTTTGATCCATAAAAGGACTTGTCCTCCTATCCCATTATTTTTGAGCTTACTTAGGAGCCTTTGATGAGGAACGTTATCAAAAGCTTTCTGGAAGTCAAGGTAAACAATATCTATTGGATCCCCCGTGTCCACATGTTTGTTCACCCCCTCAAAGAACACTAACAGGTTAATGAGACAAGATCTTCCCTTACAGAAACCGTGCTGAGTCTGCCTCAATAGGTTTTGTTCATCTATGTGCCTACTAATTCTTTTCTTAATAACGGTTTCCACCAATTTACCCGGTATAGACGTCAGACTGACTGGCCTGTAATTTCCCAGATCTCATCTGGAACCCTTTTTAAAGATGGGAGTGCCATTAGCTACCTTCCAATCCTCAGGAATGGAGGCAGATTTTAAGGAAAGATTGCATATTTTTGTCAGGAGATCCACAAGTTCACATTTGAGTTCTTTCAGAACTCTCAGATGTATGCCATCTAGGCCTGGTGATTTATCAGTTTTTAAGTTGTCTATCAGTTTTAGGACCTCCTCTCTCGTCACCTCAATCTGACTCAGGTCTTTCAACACCCCTCCCGAAATCAGCGGTTCTGGAGTGGGCAAGCACTTCTCATCTTCCACAGTGAAGACAGAGGGGAAAAATGCATTTAGCTTCTCAGCCATTTCCCTATCATCCTTCAGTACTCCTTTTACCCCTTGGTCATCCAAGGGCCCCACTGCCTCCCTGGCTGGTTTCCTGCTCCTAAGTTATTTGCAGAAAGTTTTATTGTTGGTTTTTACGTTTTTCGCTATATGCTCCTCATATTCCCTTTTTGCCTGCCTGACCACAGACTTGCATTTTATTTGCCATAGCCTGTGTTCCGTTTTATCAGCCTCACTGTGACTAGCTTTTCACTGCTTAAAGGAATCCTTTTTACTGTTTACAGCTTCCATTACTCTGTTTGTTAACCATGCAGGCTTTTTCCTATACCTGTTTGTGCCTTTCCTAACCTGCAGAATATTTTTTTTTAGCTTCTAGGATCATTGTTTTAAAGAGTTTCCAAGCTTCCCCAATGGTTTTGACCCTTTCTACTTTTCCTTTCAGTTTCCTCCCCACATGTTCCCTCATATCAGAGAAATTACCCCTTTTAAAGTTAAAGTGGTTGTGTGTGTCTTTTTGGCCAATTCCCTATTTATACAAATGTTGAACTCAACAACATTATGATCACTGTTCCCAAGCGGTATTCTTTCTATTTCTAGTTCCTCTACCTCTTCGAAACCCAGCTTGTACTTCTGGCTGTACAATCCACGTACTGTTGAAGCCTAGCTTGTAGGATCTTGAGCATAACCTTGCTAGCGTGTGATATGAGTGCAATTGTGCGATAGTTTGAACATTCCTTGGCATTGCCCTTCTTTGGGATTGGAATGTATACTGACCTTTTCCAATCCTGTGGCCACTGTTGCGTTTTCCAAATTTGCTGGCAAATTGAGTGCAGCACTTTAATAGCATTCAATTAAAAAAGGCCATGTTAGATTACCAAGTGCTTTCTCTACATCCAGAAATAAAAACATTGCTTTCTTTCACTTCTTGTTCACAAATTTGATTGTATCTATTATAAATAGTATGTTATCATTCATATACCTTTGGTAAAAAGTGTGTTTGATTGGTGTAAATCAGATTTGGTATACAGTTTCTTTGTTAATACTGTGGTAAATATTTTATAAGCTACGTTCAGGAGGGGAAGAGGTCTGTATGACGGGTAGCATTGCATCATGGCCTTCTTTATATATTAATGCTATATATGCCTCTTGCCACACCGGAGGTATTATCTTTCCTTCTTTTATCTCATTGATAACTTTTGTAATGGTAACATTAAGACTTCTTAGAAATGTTTCTAATACGTTTCAGTTAGCCCATCTGGGCCTGAAGCATTATCCTTTTCTGTATTTTTTAATTGCCTGGGTGATTTCTTCAATTATTGTTTGATTTAAAGTTTTTCTGTTTACTGACATAAACCAGTGCGAACCTTTTGATGTGCGGTCAGGTTGACATTCTGAGAACAGCAATTTCCACCTTCCAAGCATTTATATGACTTCCACTGTGAACCTTTTGATGTACAGTTAAAGTGCTATTTCAAAAGAAACACTTTCCATACTCCAAGCAGTTATATGGCTTCTCCCATGTGAATCTTTTGATGTCTAGTGAGGCTGCCATTATGAGAGAAACGTTTTCCACAATTCATGCATTTATATTGTTTCTTCCCTGTATGAATCCTTTGATGTGTAGTTAGGCTGCTGTTCAAACAGAAGCACTTTCCACACTCCAAGCATTTATATGGTTTTTCCCCTGAATGAATCTTTTGATGTGCAGTTAAGCGGTCATTTCGAGAAAAACACTTCCCACACTCCAAGCATTTATATGGCTTCTCTCCCGAGTGAACCGTCTGATGTACAGTTAAGCCACCTTTTTGAGAGAAGCACTTTCCACACTCCAAGCATTTATATGGCTTCTCCCCTGTATGAACTTTTTTATGATTATTTAGGCCACCACTTAGAGAGAAGCACTTTCCACACTCCAAGCATTTATATGGCTTCTCCCTTGTGTGAACCTTACGATGTTTAGTTAGGTCACCATTCTGATAGAAGCACTTCCCACACTCCGAGCATTTATACGGCTTCTCCCCTGTGTGAATCTTTTGATGTGCAGTTAGGCTGCTGTTCAGAGTGAAGCACTTTCCACACTCCAAGCATTTGTATGGTTTTCCCCCTGCGTGAAACTTTTGATGTACAATTAAGTGGCCATTCTGAAGAAAGCACTTTCCACACTCCAAGCACTTATATGGCTTCTCCCCTGTATGAATCCTTTGATGTACAGTTAGACTGCCGTTCAGAGAGAAGCACTTTCCACACTCCAAGCATTTATATGGTTTTTCCCCTGTGTGAAACTTTTGATGCACAATTAAGCAGTCACTCCGAAAAAAGGACTTTCCACACTCCAAGCATTTATATGGCTTCTCCCCTGTATGAATCCTTTGATGTGCAGGTAGACTGCATTTCCAAGCAAAGCACTTTCCGCATACCAAGCATTTATATGATTTCTCCCCTGAATGAATCTTTTGATGTGCAGTTAGGTTTTCATTGTGAGAGAATGTCTTTCCACACTCCAAGCATTTATATGGCTTCTCCCTTGTGTGAACCCTTTGATGTACTGTTAGGGTTTTATTCTCAGAGAAGCTCTTTCCACACTCCAAGCAGTTATACGGCTTCCCCACTGTATGAATCTTTTGATGCTTAGTTAGGTTACCATTCTGAGAGAAGCACTTTCCACACTCCAAGCATCTATATGGTTTCTCCCCTGTATGAATTTTTCTATGATTATTTAGGCCACCACTTAGAGAGAAGCACTTTCCACACTCCAAGCATTTATATGGCTTCTCCCTTGTGTGAACCTTACGATGTTTAGTTAGGTCGCCATTCTGATAGAAGCATTTCCCACACTCCCAGCATTTATATGGCTTCTCCCCTGTGTGAATCTTTTGATGTACGGTTAGGTATTTATTCTGAGAGAAGCACTTTCCACAGTCCAAGCATTTATATGGCTTCTCCCCTGTGTGAACCTTTTGATGTTCATGAAGTTGGGTCTTCAAAGAGAAGCTCTTTCCACTCTCAGATTTTTCTTCCACTTGCAGATTATTGTCTTTTGCCGCAACTCTCCTTCCTGAGTTCTTCTCACTCCCCATCTCCCTCACTTCTGCAACTGCAAAAGATGGACCGAAATTAAATAAGAATAAATAGGTAAAAATACCAGTTAGCCCATACAGTCAGTAGTCAATGGTATTTTTTACAATGAGAGTCATGGTCCTAAAAAACCTCAGCAATATTTAACCACACAGCAAGATGTCTTGGAAAAGGAGAAACAAGTAACCAAAGGAAACAAACAGAAACAGAATAGAAAAAGAAATGCTTTTTAAAATCTTGAATTTTATTGAAATACGTTTTGTTTAAATAAAAACCATAGAATATGGAAACACTTCAGAGACTGAACAATGAACTGACAACATAGATATTTCTGCAAACATGGAAAATGTCCCAGGCTTGCAGAAAAATCTGGGGGGGAAGTACACTGGGGGTTATAACATCCTGAAATAATAGAAGCAGCACCTGTAACATAAAAAAACAGATGACTCCAGCGACCATTGCAAGGCAACCAAACAGTATTGTCAGCCTTGAAGCCTTGGATTCTGTCAGTTAGAGGCATGTGGCTGTGCCCTTTAGAGCACGGGTGTCAAATATATTGAGCGATTAATAAATGGAAAGACTATTATTATTATTATTCATATTTGGCACTGCAGTTCCCACTATCACACTGAAGTAGGTGGCCAATATGGAAATGCCTAGTCTTATTTTTGACTTCCACCATCAACTGTAGCACAATGGTATGCGAGGGTGAATCTGGGCATTGCGTGCTCCAGGATGTTCCAATTCCTTTCATGTTTGGCATGGCTTTTGGGGGGCACCTCATTTGCTGCTGTATCCTCTATCCCACACTGTTCCTTCTTTCCTTCCTGGCAACCCCCATATCTTCATGTTTCTCTGTGTCCTTCCCTCCTTCCCACCCATCAACCAATCTACTTTTATTGGCCCCTCATCTTCAGCTTTCTCTGTGACCCTTCCGCAGCAGACTCTATACAGGAAAAATCTGGCCCAGTTAAGCTGTGCCAGCTGAGGCACTGGGCTGGGCCCACTTGGATGATGCTAGCCAGGCTGGGCCCAGTAGCACAGTGCAGAACCTGCAAGGACTTGTGGGGAGTCCCCTATTTTTCCATGTCCCCCTCTCAGCACTATTTGGGGGTATTTTTTGCAGCCTCCACATGCTCCGCTTTCCATGTTTCCTTCTCTACTGCCCAGTGTCCGCCCACCCCACCCACCAACCTATTGTTTAATCTGCCCGTGTTCAGCTATATCAGAGGTTCCCAAACGTATTTGGCCCACTACCCCCTTTTCAGGAAAAAAAAATGACTCAGCACCCCCCCGGACATCTACCTTCAAGAAGTGGACAAGAAGATGCAGTTTCTGGATCTGCACCCGGGGGCGGTATTGCCCATTTTGGGAACCAGTGAGATATATTAATTTATTTTCTTTATACTCCACCTTTCATCCCAATAGGTTCAAAGCATCTTACACAATTCCCTTCTCCTCCATTTTATCCTCACAACAACCCTGTGAGGAAGTTTAGGCTGTGTGTGTGATTGGCCTAATGACACCCAGTGAGCTTCCAGAGCAGAATGGGTATTTGAATCTGAGTCTCCCGGACCCTCTAACCCAGGGGTGTCGAACTCATTTCTTATGAGGGCCAGATTTGACATAAATTGGACTTTGTCGGGCTGGGCCATGTGTGTCAGAGTTTATATCTCTTCTACCTGGCATTACATTTTATGACACACATGGCCCAGCCTGACAAAGTCCAATTTATGTCAAATCCGGCCCTCGTAAGAAATGAGTTCGACACCCCCCTGCTCTAACCACTAGATCACACTGGCTTTTGCAGTGTGGCAACTGTTGAACCATAGCAAGCAGCCAGTCCTGGGTGAGTCATGCAAGGTGTGTGGTATTAAGTGGCCTGGCTCCGATTGCTGCTGGGCCTAGGCCCAGCAGAGTCTTCCCTCGTGTTTCCCCTTCAGCTTCCTTTTTATTATTCCCCTCATTTTTGTAAAGTTCACTGCTCTGAAATGAAATGTTACAGTTTTGGCCTATGAAAGAACACAGCAAGTGCAGTGAGGAGTGGGGTGATGAGGGGAATGAGCGGGTTGGGGTGTAGTCTACATTAAGAAAGGGACCGTCTGACTTTTCGTGGCAGGCATATCTCATCAGGAAATCCGGCTAGGCGTTAAAAATTGGCCACCGAGCAGTAGCAGTGCGAGAAATGGAGGAAACTGCAGTTTTTTGACCTGGTGGTGTCTGCAATGGAAGCAAAGGTTTTCCTCTTTTCTCTGGGAAGGAAGGAAGCTAGGTCAATTACCTGTCAAAGTCCAGCTACAGAAATGATAATGACCCTGCTAGCAAAGCCAGCTGAGGAATTTGGTGCTTACTTGGGCAACCACCTGGTGATTCCTGAAGATTTTCCCAGCATGCCTGGCAATTTCCCAGTACGCCTCCCAAGAGGAGGCTTCCTGGAGACTACAGGAGAAGAAGCCCTGGCCTGGGCAGACCAGGTCAAAGAGGTGGAGAAGGTGATGTAAAGTGGAAGGAAGTGAGATAGCTCCCTCCAGGAGGTGGCAACCCAAAAGAGGGAGTGGACAGAACAGGGTCTGCAAGTCCAGCATGCCTGTTCCATCACAATAACAGAAGGGGAAAGACCCTTACCTAGAGAGGCCACAGTCTCGTAATTTTCCTCTGTAACTTCCCAGAAGAGTTTTCTTTGGCCTGGATCCAGGAGAGCCCATTCCTCCTCGGTGAAGAACACGGCTACCTCCTCAAAGGATGCTCGGCATCTCTGAAACAGAAAAATATTGCCAAGCTGGTCATCGATTCCCTTAAAATTAATGTCTAACTAACTAACTAAAGTAGAGACATCACCCTGCCAACAAAAGTCCGCATGGTCAAAGCAATGGTATTCCCAGTAGTCATGTATGGCTGCGAGAGTTGGACTATAAGGGAGGCCAAGCGCCAAAGAATAGATTCTTTTGAACTATGGTGCCGGAGAAGACTCTTGAGAGTCTCTTGGACTGCAAGGAGATCAAATCAGTCAATCGTAAAAGAAATCAACCCTGACTGTTCCCTGGAAGGCCAGATAATGAAACTGAAGCTCAAATACTTTGGCCACCCAATGAGAAGGGAGCACTCACTGGAGAAGACCCTGATGCTGGGAAAGATTGAAGGTCAAAGAAGACGGGGATGGCAAAGGATGAGATGGTTAGACAGTGTCATAGATGCAACGAACATGAAATTGAGCCAACTTCAGAGGACGGCGGAAGACCAGAAGGCCTGGCGGGATCTGGTCCATGGGGTCGCGAAGAGTCAGACTCGACTGTGCGACTGAACAACAACAAATAAACTAACTGTGAAAAGCCTTAACTGACTGCACCTACTATACTATCTTGCACATTTCACCCAAGAAATACCTCCTTTTGTATCTTCTCCAGAAATACAGAAATTTTTGGCCACTGTGTGACACAGAGTGTTGGACTGGATGGGCCATTGGCCTGATCCAACATTGGCTTCTCATATGTTCTTATGTTTCCGCAGAAGGTTTCTGCTTCAAACATTTTTGTCTGCAGAAGTATTTAAGGCGAAGACAAACATATTGCAGCAAAGTTACTAAACTGCTGGGGCAGGGATTGTTTTGATCGACAATAATAAACATAAAATGAAAACTAATAAATAATAAAATGAAAACTAGGAGCCTCAAAATTGGCCACCAGCAGCAGAATGACTGTGGGAATGGAAACACCCTAGCCCAGATTAATCCCTGAACATCCCTCTGCTATTTTGGAATAGAAGTGATAATTTACTTCCAAGAAGCCGGGAAGGTGCAGGGCAGAACAGCACAGCACAGACCGGGAGGCTGGATCAGATCCCCTCCTTCACAAGACAAACCTTCAGAGTCGTTTCCAATTCAGAGAGCTGCTTGAGGGTGATCACACTTAAGAGGAAGCAACAGTAAGGAAATTAAAATACTTCCACTATGGGAGCAAAATGTGGCCAAACGCATATTTCAGGGCTGGCCCACGGAGCGTGCAATGAAAACAATGTTGCACCTAGCAGAAGATGTCCATTGAGAGGTCTTCTGTGTACACGTTTTACAGGTACACATTGCACAGGCCAGCCACCAGAGACTCTCGACACCTATTTATCCTATTTAAAAAAAACAATAAAAGGGGACCCCCCCTCCCCTGTGGAGCCCGTTAGCACCAATGTTCCCTCTAGGGTGTGGAGTCTTGTGAGCAAAAATTCTACTTTCTGAGCTACTGGCATTAAAGTTGTGAGCCAGCGATTTGGCTCCTGCATAAATTAGCTTGCTCTGGAACCCTCCTTCCTGAGCGGAGACAAAAATGTGTGAGCCGGAGGCTGAAAAACTGTGAGCTAGCTCACACTAACTCAGCTTAGAGGGAACATTGGTTAGCACTTCTTTTCCCACTCAAACGGTCACATGCTTTGCAGGGAGGCCCCCCTCTTCCCTCAGCCCTCCTGAGCTTCAGTTGGTTGCGGAAGCAGGAAGAAGACCCCCCCCCACCTCTCCGACAGTCGGAGAGGTGTGGGCTCAATGGACCTCCCCCGGCACCTCTCCAATATTTGCAGCCAGCACCTCTCGTCCTTTCCCTGTCTCTGGCCTGTTGGCTGCCCTCTGGACAGGGCACCCGGCCCTGTGGGCAGCCATTCACAGTGCAGAAGACAGGCAAGGCAGCGGTGAGGGGTGTGTGCGAGACACCAGAGTGGCAGGTGAAAGCAAAAGCACGGCAGGGCTTGGCTAATGGGGGAGGGGGCATGGCCCCAAAATGCCCCCCCATGGCTACGCAGGAAGACCGGTATGGACAATGAGGGTAAGACTAAGTAACCTGCACTTGATGGCAGTGGCAAATTCA